CGACCGTGGTCCGACCCTTCTGACTTAGACCGTTATCCATTTCGTCGGAACCACAGCTTTCTTAGTTGACACCCTCGGTAATAATCTTTTACCTCTGTATGTACTGGTGACTATTAGATGGAGCTAGACCCCGAGCGTGCGTTCTAGAGTGGGGCACCCCCAGTTTTACTAGTGTTCTTGCCAACTCGTTGTTTAGGGTCTTTGGTGTGCACCCCCCTGACAGTTACTGGACCGTCTCTCGACCCTGGTTCATTTGTTTCCGATTGGTTAGTCATTGTGTGATGCGGCGGTCCCTGAGTTTAGGACGTCACGGTCTGCACAGGAGGACGAATTTCGGGTCATGTACAGGTCCGGGCAGACTTCAAAACCGAATCTCTCGTAGAATCTACTTAGGTCTTTCTCCTAACCCTCTTACAATATACCAGTCTTACTTTGGGTTTATCTTGAAAAACCATTTTTTGAGTCTTGATCTGCACAAACCTTCCTCTTTCTTACGACTCAACCGTAGGTTTCTTTGTGGTATGGATGACACTTTGTACCCCACACCTTTGTAGTACGAAACCCAGGACAAAAAAGACGTTTCCCTGGCCCTGCTGAACTAGGCAACATTTCCTTTCTTACTACCCCGGTCATTAGCACCTCTAAAAACTCACCTGTTGGAGGAAGTAGTCGTTCCCGTAACTTCTAATTTGCATCCGAACCAGAAAGTCGTACTGTTACTAGGTTTGGTGTGGCGGCCCGTTACTTCCTGACCGAAGCATTTCTTCCGTAAGTTCCAGGACCTCACCGGATCGGCCAGAGGTCTAGAGTTGTGGGGTATCTTTTAGACAACCTCCCTCAACTTCAGACACAACCCGGGTCGCTGTCGGGGTTTTGAGTAGTGTTGTTTCTGGTGTCCTTTGATAGCTCTTTGGTCTTGGCCATAGTGGAGTTTGGAGTGTGACTGTTTGAGGTTGTGGACAGGTGTCTTTTATACTGATAACAAGTTCAAACAGGTGCCATTAATACAGTTAACAAGTGGAGGACAGAGGAGGCTCTTAAAGAAGAAGTTACAGAAGTTCTCTGTGAGAGCCAGAAATCTTGTTTGTTTGTAGGTGACCAAATACTTATTTTCCACCATAATTTGCAAATAGATTCTTTAAAAATCAGACAATGTGATTTTCTTGATTTTGTTTCCTCATTTTGTCCCTCACAGTTGAGGTATACCTGGGATTAAAATTACAGGCCTCTCTCATCTTTTTAAGTGGGAGAACTTGCACAATTGGTGGCTGACTAAATACTTTTTTTCCCCACTGTATGTGGAGATGCTTTACCTGCTTTCCATATCCAAACAGCGGTGATTGGCCATCAGAATCTCTTCTTCTTCCTTCTGGATTCGAGCCTCTACTGACGTGTCATAGCTGCTGCTGGGAGAATGGCCGATCACTGATGCAGCTGTGTCCCTGCCAAACAGGACAGAACCTCCATTACATCATTTCAGGCTCCAAAAGTAGCAGCTTTATTTATTGCTGACCTTTTAAGGACCGTCATGAAGAGCATTCTGTTGTCAAGTTTGCAATCAACACCACTGTCCACGGCCACATTACAATAATTGACAGGAGGCAAAGACACGCAGTTTAAGAACAACCAACTTGAATAATAAGAAAACCAAATCGAAGAAAGCATCCTGACTGTAAACATTACAAACTGACATGGGTTGTGCACAGCCCAGGAAAGGAGGACTCTGCACCCCTGATTAAAGCTGACATCAAAAGGTAAGGAGCCTGCCAGTCAGTTCGACTTAGTGCCATCTGGCAAGCGATACTGTTTCCGCTGCCATACAGAATAGCTACTTTTCTAAGGTTGTAAGACTCCTCATCCTATCTTGTTGAGCACAAAGGGAATACAACTTGCATTTAGTGTTGCCTCTGCATTAAAAATAAACTAACCTTGGTCATATGAGAGGAAATGTCAACAACTGTCTTGCACATATACCTCTGAGTGGCCACAGAAGCAGCAGCATCAAGGGCAAACTGCCTCATCACGCTCTCCTCTAAGTACTTCTGCTCCCATTTGGTCATGTCGGCCTCCAGAGCCAGGATGCGCTCTTCCTTCTCCCTCAGGTGCTCCATCAGCGCTGTGGCGTTGTACTCTGATGATACTGCTCCACTGCTTTGAGTGGCTCCCTGACGCTTGGAGGGACAAACAGGGGAAGCAGAAATAATGAGGGAGACAGAAGAGGCACTTAAAAATATTGATAGCTATGTTATCTTTCAACTGCAGTCATTTGCTGATATGGCCAAACATTATTTTTGTATGTGTGTTTTTCACAACACTGATTCATACTACCTGAATGTATTCACATTGTATCTATAGATTTAGATTTGAATTTATTGTCTACGGTCATTTGTAAATCCATTAGGGCTGCCCCCAAATAGACAAAACGTTAGTTAGCTTAAACAAAGTATTATTCTACACATTTTTCATTCGTCTATTAGTCAAAGGAAAAAAAAGGAAAAGAAGAAAAAAAGCTCCATCCGCGCTGCGTGTGCTCTGCTGGAAGACCCCTCAGACTTCATTCAGAGCTGTGGCTGGTCATTGAGAATCCAAAGTCTGATGCATGTAAAGGACGAGCCCCACAAGGTGATATGCAAACTCTGCAGGAAAGAAGTGGCCACCGTATCTACGCCATCGGAGCGCAGCTTCCCGAATGCCACATCAATGCAAAACATAGAGCTTAATCGTCCCCGACAACGTGTGTTCCTTTCTCAGACTTGGAGGAAAAGAGAGGCAGTGAGTCAGGCAGCCTTAAGTTTATATTATTGGTCTTAATATATTTATACAACACAAAAAGTAAGGAAATCTGTGTTTGGTAGATTATTTATTTGTTGTAACAATTCTTCTCAGCAATAAATCTTATACGGTTGTAAAGCCTGTTTTCTTACCTTACATATGGGGCCACATTAGTGAGGAACATGCATTTGTGGGATGAGCAACAGAGCCGAGTATGTGGGTTGCACCCATGTGTTTTTTTTTTGCCGATATTTTTCGTTGTTTACGTTTGCTGTGATGTATTGGTTTGTAATATTCATTAACATTTTAAATATAAATGCTTTAGTTTTTTCACTTATCATTTGTTAGTTATTGTTGGCATTACAACTTATGTGCACATCCACAAATAGTTTGAGATGTAAGTTATTTTATACTCGAGAGAGAATAAATGAACTAAATACTCTGTGTGTGTGTGCTTGTTCACACACACATTAAGAATCCTTCCCAGAGCTGTTTACACCGCTGACTGACAGAACGCTTAAGCCGTGCGTTGCGCTATGACATGCAGTTTCCACATGTCAAATGTAATTTATATTTCAAAGGTTCATTATTACAGTTTAACATTACATTTTATATGAAGCATAATGTTCTTTATCAGCCCTTGAAACTCAAACCATTTTGGGAGAAAAAATAAATAAATACAAAAAAATTGATTTATACTTATATACTTTTGGCCCAGACTTAAAATAATGTAATCATTTGTGGTAATTATGCAGGGCCTCTTCTTTCCACCAGCATGGCGGTTACCTGCTGCATACGTAGCGACTCCAGCTCTCGCTCCAGTCTCGTTCGAAGTCGATGCTCGAGTTGTTCTCTTTTCTCACAGGCTGCCTGGAGCTGAGCCAGAGCCTGCTGCATCCTCTCCACCTTCTCAACATAAACCTGCTTCTTCTTTAGCTGTGCATAGACAGAGAGAAAGAGAGGAAAGCCAATATTTACATAATTGTCTTCTGATCTGCTATTTCTCCTTAACAAAGCCTACTCCACTTGTTTATAACATTTTGTGTCAAGAAATGAGGACTCCAAGATGAGGTAACCTCAAAAGCTTTCTTAGTGGTAGTGCTTCAGTTGGATTTATTTTTTAATATTTGTATTGAAGACACATGGCACATCAATGGGAACCACAGTTACAAATGATACAATAGTTAAAAACAACTAGTGATCAGCTTAGTCTTAACTGGTATTGTACATCAGTTGAAAAGCCGTACATAGTTGATCTTGACTTGAAGGCGTACAATATTTAAAACGCACATTCATAATTCAGTTGGAATTTGATGGTAAAAACAGATTGCTTTTTTATCTTTGATCTGCAAAATGTAATTTTACTTCAGTAAAATAAGAAGCAGACTAGAGCTTATATTTGCTCATCACAGATACATTGTACTGTTGTATATGTTGACAAATGTAAATACCCAAAAGGTAACGGGAAGACGTCTAAATTGATATGTATAAAGCTTTTGGTTTTTGAGAGCACCAGACCGTGGAGGCCTTTAAAAAGGCCTCAAAACCCATCTGTTCAATAGAGCCTTTCCCTAGACCTCTTATTTATTTATTTATTACCCCCCTTTTATTTTATTTTATTTGTATTTTTTATTAATTTTACCGTATTGTGTGATGTTTTTATACTGTTCATGCTGCTTGTAGCACTTTGGGATTTGAAGTCAAATATGAAGTGCTTTATAAATTAAACCCATTATTATTATTATTTTATTTATTTACATTTGGTAGCCACAGCCAATCAAAAGTTTTGTTCATTTTCTGCTATTACTTTTTATTAAGGAGTTAACCAAGTCTTAGCAAAGATTACTTAGATATAAGAAGTCCTGCCAAAAGACACCTACAGCAGAAGATTTTATTTATGGTTCAGTCCCAACAGTCTCCACCGCCATCAGAAACATAAAGCACTATGAGAAAACTAGAAAATTCCAAGAAATGTTGACTGTCTGAAACTTGGCTGCACGTCACAAAGCTAACATTACCCCCGCTAAGTAAGTATTAATAGTATTAGTTGTATTGTCAAGGTACAACAAAGAATATGTATAAACATACATATTTGCACACATATTTTTATATTTTATATACATTGTTTTTATATTGACATTAAAGTTGACTTTGTCTTTTGACTTTGAGAATATCAATGAATTTTAGCTCAGTTTTAGCTGACTATTTTAACTGTTTATCTATTACATTTTTGGATTCTTGTACCACATTCCTGCATCGTTTCTGAACATCTTTAGATTACCAATGGATTTAATTAGTTTAATAAAGTCCATAGTCTCGAGAAACGTTAAAACTTGTAATTTTTGTTATACGTTAAAGTATGTGGAATCTGTATGGGGTCAAAGTGGGGTGTTTTTGAGCTCGGTTCAAATGGATTTCCCATTCAGTCATATGGGGCAAATGATCACAGTTTTCTGCGATTTGCGTGAAGACGGCTAAGTGAATCTCTTATAAAAGACATAGCAACCCAATCCTGGTCATTCCGCACGTTTTTATGTTGTTTTTGTGTGTTTCGTGTCAACGCTGCCGGATGAGTAGCATGACAACATTTGTGGTGGAAGAAGGAGATTAAGATGACTAAAAAAAAGGCATTTCTTGCAGAAAATGCGTGTGAATGCTGTAAGCTGCGTATATTTGTTGTTGAATGTGGCAGCGGGGTGTGGTTTGGGCGCTGGCTGCTGGAGTGAAGGGAGTGGCTCGGCCGGAGGCCAGACAGCTGATCGGAATCAGGTAATCAGTGCGGGAAGAAAAGCATGTCGTAACCTGGTTCTGGTCTGTTATGCAGTAGGCGGGATCCTGGAAGGTCGCCAAAGGACCTGTGAAGTTTCCCACCCGGGCAACGTTTGAGACCCGCGCATTTTTGTTTGGAGTTAAAAAACGCTCTGTGTTTCAACCAACACCTGCTCTTTCCGTCCCTGTTTGGACCCCTGTCTGAGCGGGAGAGGGTCACAGTGGCCGCCTGAAACAGGGACGGTGATGGTCGGAAGGAGAAACCCCGCTGGGTCAGGGCTCCAACGTCTCTCGCTCACATTGCAGGAGACCACCACAGCATTACAGCGACAGCAGGAGCGAGGCTCTTGCTCGGGATCGCCTCGAGCCAGTGCGAGGACCGGGCTCTCCTACGGGAGCTGCTGCAGCGTCCGGCCGCTCGGGAGGCCGATCCCGCTACAACCGGCTCCGACCGCCTTCCAATGCCCTCCAGAATTGACGGCAGAGGGATGATCCGGAGGCATACCTGGAAATATTTTGAGGGCACAGCGGCGCGTGCGGGTGGCCCGGAGAAGGAGTGGCAGCGCGCTATTTGCCTCTTGCTTATCTGGGAGTGCGCCGTAGCGCCCACAGCCTGCCAGCAGGCCTCTCGGCATGTGTACGCACTGAGGAAGGCCAGTCCTGGACGGCCTTGCAGCAGCGCCAGAGGGCTCGCTGCGGGTTCCGGGCCCTCCCCTTCGAGGACGCTGACCGACCGCTTCTCCTACGCGCAGCGGCTCCTGGGATGCAGCGTCCGCTGGCTCCAGCGGGGGGTGCGCTCCGCTGAGAAGTCGTCGGGCAGGTGGCGCTGGAGCAGGTTACTCGCCGGCCTGCCATCTTTCGACGGCCGAATTGGTCCAGTGCCATCGCCCCGCCAACATGGAAGGCGCTGTCGTCCTTGCGGAGGACCACCTCTCGTTCCCCGCGGGGAGCATGAAAGAAGGCGCCTCGACCCCAGCTTGTCTCAGCAGGGCAAACCATCACCAGCCCGAGGAGGAGGTTTCCTGGACGGCAGTGCCCTTCCCTCCCACCACAAACGGGCCCCAAACCCGCGCAGGCCCCGGACACTTTTCCCTAGCTCTACCCTTACCTCTGTTTATTATCTCTCCCCAGGGTCCGGCCTACGCTTCTGGTCGTCGGCCCACGGGGGGGCTTCAGACGTCAGGGGAGGCGATTGTGGCGGTGCGGAGGTGGACGCTGGTTCGGGTGCAGGACGCCGTTGCCGCACCGATTTGGGAAGGGACCGTACCGATTATACCTGGTAGCTTATGTATACAGGGGTACCACCACCAGGCTTGATGGCACACGGGCTGTAATCAGACTTGATCCATCTCACTGGTTTCGGCCTGGGGGCATTGATTGAAGGCATCCGTGGGTGAACGGTGAGGTGTGGTGCATGGGGATATTCACCAGTACCCGGAAGTTGACGCTGGAATTTCTTTTAAGGGGAAAAAGCATAGAGTCAGGGCTGGAATTGCACTGCTTACGCACCCTCTGATTTTGGGACGATCGGCCGGAGGGGTGCTAGTTAGCGGGGGGCTATGGGGGTGCGTTCACGGACGGCAGGAAATTGTGAGTTGTGTGCTGGTGTTTTAGAGGGAGAGTCGTGAGCGGCTGGACGACATCGAGGTGCGGAAAGGACCACGGGAGGGGGGGCCGCGGGAGGTCCCTCTGGACCCGCTGGTGTTTCCCGTGGAATGATTCCCCTCGGAATCGAGGGAACGAGTACCCTTCAGCACGCCTTCGGCCGTGTGATGAGGCCCCAGCTACACCGCAAACGCAGCACTCACTCACCCACACTTTACGTGGTTAGGGACAGGCTGTATCGTGTAGAGCGCGTGACACAGGACATGGAGGATTAAATTATCCCTTGTTGTTGCGTTGCCAAAAAGGCCGTCGGAATGTTTTCCACCTCTTATAACCCTCCCCATGTCAGGTCACTAGGTACGGCATAATCACGTACACGGATAATGGCCCGATTATTGGGCTCTCGCACAGATGTGGAGCAGTGGTGTGCCATCTTGGCGTGATATGTTCGCTGTGTATCGCCGCCTTCCCCAGAGCGCCTTTGCGCCCGTTACATTGATTGAGTGCCTTTTGGAGAGAGTTGGAAGTGACCTCATCGGGCCGTTGGACCGGGTCACGGATTCGCTTTGTACTAGTTCATAGTGGATTATGAACCGATATCCGGAGGCAGTTGCCGCTGTGTAAATTCTCTGCAAGAGCGTCGCGCAGGCGTGTTTCACATTATCTTCCCGAGTCGCGGATCCCGAAAGAGATCTTTGACTGACCAGGGACACAGTTTATGTCACGCAACTACGCAAGCTGTATGAACTATTGGGCGTGCCACTTCATACGGGACACATTAGTGTTTACCATCCCGCGTCCGCGACCTTCGGTGGACACGGTTGTTACAACACTAAGAACCTGGTTTCGGTAAGTTCGGTTCACGGAAGATAGCCGAATTGAGATAAATGGGCTGATCCTCTGTGTTGCCAGTGCGGAGGTGCCGATCCTCCACGGGATTTTCTCCCTTTGAGCTGTTATTTCGGTC